TCTCTCTCTCTCTCTCTTTTTCTCTCTCTCTCTCTATCTCTTTCTCTCTCTCACTCTCTCACTCTGTGTTTGCCTGCCTGTCTGTCAGTCTGTTTTTCACTTGCAGTTGCCCTAATGCTTTCAGTCTGAATAGCTCTGGTGTTTGGATTTGAAGTATTGGAGGCTGGTCTATAATGATACTCTCACATCTGATCAGTTTCTGTCATAATTGTCCTGATCCTGACTTTCTAAACTGTGTATACTTCCACTCATAAAATGCTTCAAAATTTCAAAACTATAAAATCAAATAAGTGCACTTCTAAACTAAATTTTTACATTATAAAAGCTATTATGGCTCTTTCAAACGATGTTATCTTTCTTTTGAAGTTATTGAAAAAATTAGTATTATCTGAAGCTTCTACTCACATCTTTGGGGAAAATACTGGACTGGGTCATAAAGCTATCTCAAAAGACTGTCTTATAAAAGAGAAGGACACTAATGTCCTCGTAATGATTGATGAAAATGTTACACACATCTTGTAGGAAAGGAATGTGCATTTGAAAGTTGATCTTATTTGCAAACATCATCTTGAGATGCAGAAGAGAGGAATGGTTTCCTTCATTTTCATTGTTTTCTGATGCTTTTATAATTGATTTAACAGCAATATAATATCTCTTGAGAGACAGAGCAGGTATTTCAATTTATGAGATTTAAAAAAAAAGAAAATGTTCAAGCAATATATTTTTTTCTTTGTTAAAAAGTGTGTATTGTTGTTGTCATATATGGTAGTAATGGTAGTATTATTTTTGATAAACAGGTCTTCTCTTTCCAGCTTCAGTTTGGGCAGTTTTAAATGTATTTTAATTGTCTGTTCTGAAAAGTATTCTGAATGATGTCTTCTAGATCCCCTTGTTGCTGGTAAAGTTTCCCCCCTTCTTGGGAATGTCCTAATTGTCTCCTCTATTCTTTCTTTTGGTTCTGTAAGATTTGAAATAAATTATAAGTGTTATGGCTGGTCACTTGAGAGAATTCTGTGGAGGAGCAACATTTTTATCTTTAAAAAAATTTCAAGTGTCTCTTTTGCAAAAAAATGTGGCCAGTATTGAATCATTTGCCATACTTTAGGTACTTTTCACAATGAAAGGTGTAGGAAGTACACAACTTACTTGCACCCCCCCCCCCCCCCCCCCCACCCCCGGTTTTGGATGTAAACCTAATATCTGTGTGGTCAGAGGTTCATTTTTCACTCCTATGCTCTGATTCTGTCAAAAAAAGAAACCCAACCCTGTATCTATGTGTACTTCCTGAATTCTTTTCACTCCTGACTGAGCTATTATTCACATTCAGGGACACATCCTTTCTGTTATTTTTATTTTTATTTTTTTTCTATCTGCTGATGTATGATGATTACTTTACAGTCTTAGAATAGCAAGAATAGCACATTTTGATATAGGCCTGTGTTTCTCTGGCTTTCTGAAGTTATCTATTTATTGTCAAACAGTGTTTAATGTTCTTTGATCTATTACTCTTTAAGGAATGGTGTAAATTATTCTTTTATCCATATACAATTATCTATTCACAAACAGTTTTAATGTCCTTTAAATTTATCGATATAATTTTCCACTGCGATAATCCCTTCAAACATTTCACTACGCTCTGTTCAGTTTGAATACCTGTGGTGAGTGAATGTTATTCTTCCTTCTATCTTATTACACCAGTTGTTTAAAATTTCAATACCCCCCCCCCCCTCTCTGATCACATGGGGGCCAGTTATTACGCAAGAGCTATTTCTGTTATCTATTACCATAAGATCTCTTTATATGATATGCCATTCATCAATATTCTCTCTCTCTTTCTCTCTATCTCTCTACCCTGTGATCAGTTTAAGGGCGTGTGGATGGCTCTTATCAATTTCTGAGCGAAACACAAGTGCTGATTTGTTGAGTCACATGGCCAGGAGAGTCCTTTTCAGTTTGGGTCACAAGTGGCTTCAGTCGACATCACTGGTCAGATTGTCGACGACTCATGTGCTGCCAGCATACAGCTATAGTCTGTTAATAAGGCCGTCTTCACATTCTCTTATTGGAAGTAAGGAATCTTTTCTTTCTTAAAACTCATTTTTGGTGTGGCACCCCTAATGATTTATGTGCTTAGTTGTGGTTTTGTTTTTATTTTTTAAAATGTTTTTGCTTGTGCTTCTGGGTATGTAGAAATATTGTGGCTTCTGAAGGCATTCTTGAAATTGAAAATTCTAGTTTTTGTGTCCCTTCTCTGTTTATGTCACGTGAATTACTATTACTTTGATGATATGGTTGCATGTGCTTGGTCCAGAGAAATCTTGCCCCGATATGATTTCACAATGCTTTCAATAATGGTCAATCCTATTGTAAGATATACTTTTAAT